CGCAATAATAAAGGGGTGGCAATAATATATTGTTCCGGCCCGGAATATCCCGATTTTGCTAGATTTCTTTTTATTTGTACTACTGGTACTACGAGCTGCACTACCTAGTCCTACCGCCACCCCCGTCATTTATTATTGCGACCCCCCCCCCTTCCATAAGCCCGAATCGCAAAACAAGTTCTGGGGGGGGGGACGGGGTTTATTAATGTCACGGTAACATTAGTGCCTATGTGGGAATTCCTCAAACTCGCCTTTAGGGACTTCAGGATAACATATGGGGAGATGATGGGAATCCTTACTCGGGATGTTATAGGAATCATGTTCAGAAACTCCCACGTCTAGGCGAAGGGTTTTGGATTCCAGTGTTGCTGTCTTCCGCTTTACCTACTGGTGCTGAAGTGGGGGGTGGGGAAGTGAATAGAGGTACCATGACACGGGTACATGTGGGGGTCATTTAGGGTTGGGATCCACCCCCCCCTCTCCCTTAAGCACCAGTAAGTTTAGGCTTCAGGCAGGCCTTCTGGGAGGGCGACGCAGACCCCCAAAAGGAATCCAAAAATTAGATCCCCTAGAACCATATGGGAAACTATCTAGGAAATATATGGGGTTCTGATGGGTCTATACGGGGATCTAGGTTTTAGATCCTACCAGGAGTCTGGTTATATAAGGATCCCCGAGCATCCGCACAGAATCAATTCATCTGAACTTTGCATCGAAAGCTCAGGTAAAATGCCTTCTAATGACAGCTCAGTAGCAATCTTAAGTGAACAAAACAAAGTCAGTGGCAGCACGCGTAGTCTGTGTGGAATTCTTGAGTGCGGCAGACATTTGGGGACTGCTTCCTTATGAGACGTACACTAGCGAGGTATTTTGTAAACTAGTGTCGTCTAGTCTACAAGGGTTCCATGGGGTTTTCTAGGGCTGGTCTAGGAATGAAGATCTTTAAGGATGGGTCTTCAGAACAGGTTCAGGATGACAAGTGATGCCAAGTGGGAGGGGAAGGGGCAGGGAGCGTGCTGTTAGTAGTATGGAATAGAGGAGCTGGTCCCTACCGTAGCTCATACATACCCCCCGAGAAATTCACAGTTTTGTCCTTCATTCCCTACTATAACAACCAGCAAGGTAAGGGATCTTTCTACCGGGCTTCCTTTAAACTGCCACCGAGCGGCCATCGAACAAAGTGAACGCATTTTTGCCTCGCAGCCAGTTGGCGATGATGCCGAAGAAAATCGTTCCAGACAGGATCACGGTGCCTCAGCTTCTGGGCTTTGCTGTTCCACTCGTGTTTCTGGTATGATTGATAGCAAGAGCAGCATGTCCTCTTTGGTTAAAACTTCGTGTACCGCTGGCCGAGACTCCAACTATTGCAGCGCTCATTCCACAGTGCTCTAGCTCAATAGCCCCACTTTGATTCAAAGCTTGAGCGGCAAACTGGAGACCACTTTGCCAGGCACGGAGATAAGATAGAGTTTGCATGTTTTTGAATATAGTTCACGGGAAGGCCTGTTGATGTCAATCGTCTGCTGCACTAGAAGCTGTGAAATGGAAGGGGGATCGCCTTATTCTTCCTCTGCCAGCTCGCGCGCCCTTGCCAGGATCCATGTCAATGATTGGGACTTTTGGATCTGCTATTGCCAACTCATCCGAAGCAAACAAGGGGTCCTGAAAACGCTGCCAGATCGCACAAGGAATTGTGAGAAAACTGGAGGCGCCAAGCGGACTTTCATGTAGAGAGCGGCGTTAAAACTAACATTTAGCCTGCTTGAATGCTACAAGCAAGAAAGAACAGTGGCGGCCCGCTTCATAAATAATCTTGCTCACCGCCATGTCTATAAATAGTACCTACATTGGGCTATCTTCTATAATATACTTCAGTATAGTAGTTTCCAGTCTTTTCCATTATCCCTATATAACCCCAATGTACTATTTGGATCCCTAGAAAAAGGGTCAGAATCAGAATGAGGCTCAGAATGAGGGTTTCTGTCACAGGCAAGGCACCGATGTCTACGGAGCTTTTCACGATCAGCTTCGAGAAATATTGGTCCAATCTGGGTGCGGGAGCCCCTAGCGACCCTAGGGGCACAGTCCCAGAGGGTCCAAGTACCCAATAATTAGGTACTTGGGTTTTGGGTAACAGGAATTAAAGTGCAAGTTTTGGGTAATTATGCGATTATTTGGACCTTTAGGGTGTGTTGGGGTGTAGGGTCTTGAGTAGATAGCAATTCCCGAGATCATAACAAGATGCCCACGTCTCCCAATTTTATATCTACTTAAGGGGGACTACTAAGGACTACAAGGGGATTGACTGGGTCCCCGTTCGGAATTATCTAGAGCAACTTTCTACGTCTTCCGTTGGGAGTGGGTACGGTCCTATCATTACACCTACAGGGTCCTGTTGGTATTTAGGTTGCCAACAGGGCACCCCCTTGCCAGAAACCCATTGTCGCGCGGCGGTGAAGTCGTTTGGTCCGTGATGGGGACGGGAGGGGCAATGACACAAAAAACGAAAATGCACACGGAAGAACACCTCTTGCAGGAGTCTGTAGAATTGGAGCAGGATTACGATGCTTTCTGATTTCCGTCTCGATTTCGGTCTCATCGTATACTTCAAGAAGCTTCAATTTGTCCTTGATAAAGCCCAACCTGAACACCAATGCACCCTTCCACACTAGGTGTGCATGTCACTAGGATCCACTTCTAAACCCCCAGGCGCTCAGCCAAATTCTAGAAATGGACAGCACATGAATTAAGCCCCCCTTCTAATCCCAATCCCGCCTAATCGGTCGGGACGAGGGGGGATCAACATTATTCTGCCTCTGATTTGGGGCCGCATGACAAGGGCTGCCTAAGGTGGACCATGTTTTGGACGATGCCCTAAGTAAATCCTCTCTGCTCAAAGGCAGCAGGCCACTATTGCGGCGAAGCTTCATCACATCATCCTCCTGAGCATGGTCTCAAGATGGGGATACCTTCTGAAGCCTAGGGACAGAAATGGGATAATTTCAGGGTGTTGGTTTTTGCCTCAAGGGCGGAAGGGATGGTTTGAGAGACCTGGAGATGTGTCGAATAGCAAACACGAGTAGTCTGGTTTCGCAACCGCCTCCGAATCTCATGTTGCTTGGCTCGGGGGCTGCGGGTGCCATCATGCGCCAAGCTGCGAGAATTTCCAGGGTAGTTTCCTGCCAGGGGCGCATGGTGCAGGCAGAATTTGCATGACTGTGGGCTTTACGAAGCCAAGTGCTTAGATAAAGCATCTTCAAGATAAAGTGCATGGTACATTGAAAATGCTGCAATAACATGAGATTGTTTGAAGCAATCCCAGTCCGGGTCGTAACTTGGCATAGGCCCGCTAGGGTTCTGAAGGACATAGCGCAGGAGAGGCAAAAGTGCCTTTATCCTCCAGCCTGCCCCGGTCCACAGCGTGCTGCGCTGCGGCCAAGGGATCAGAGCCCCCGCACCGCTGAGCTCTGCAAGCAGAACCTCCCCACCACGGACCTCCCTGAGCCAGCGAAGCTGCTCCGCAGTTGGGCGGAGTTCCCGGGGATGTTGTGGCATCCCCTCGAGCCTCTCCACAAGACTTTGGAAGACCTCACGGGAACCAGCAGCATCGCGGGCCTCAGCCGCGACGCGCCACAAGATGGGCAGGAGGTCTTGAAAGTCCGCTCCGCGCGCGACAGCGTTGCCCATGCGGAGGACTCTACTGCGCAGGATTTCGTCAACTTCTTCTCCAACAGCCCCGCCGACCAAGAGTAGACCAAGAAGCACATGACAGAGAGTGAACACTTTTGGAACCGGCTGGATGGGTTCCATGTCGTTGTCACCAACTGTGGACACCACCTGGACCAGGAAGTACAGGGTATCCTCAGGATTCCAGCCCTGAGTCCGTGTATAGTAGTACAGCCCAGTCGCAAAGTACATGAGCACCGTAGGAAAGTACCACATGGAGGATCGCAGGTTATAACCAGGATTGTCCACAAACTGTCTCAGGAAATCCCTTCCTCGAAGTCGGGTGACCACTGCAGTGCCAATGACCAGGGACTCCAGAAGTGCCACCTCTCCGATTCCAAACAAGAAATCTGTGCCACTGGGCCATTGCTCCCGGGCCTTATGGTGGCACGTGCCCGTGGTCTCATCGCCTTTCCATGCACACTCCGCACGCAGATCCTGGCATTCAAGCGGACTCTTCCTCTTGCGACAGAGCTGCTCATTATGTGGCATACGACCACGTGCTCGTGGGCGAGGAGTCTGCGACACGCTTGCGTGCGCAGCCATGGCGGCCCTCCTAGCCTCTGCCGCCCGTGCAGCTTGCTCCGCGCGAGCTTCTTGTTTGGCGGCCGCCTTTTGGGCAACCACCAACTCAACCACCTGCTCCTCATCGTCATGGATCCGCTGTAGCAGCTTTTCTTCCTGAGACTTGTAAACCTCTCCAGTATCAGTGGTTTCTTCCACAGGATCGGGGACTTTCGAGGCTTCTGGACTCTGGTCCTCCAACTTCACATTCTTCTGACCCTGTGCTCTCTGCAAGTTCTCGTCGCTTCGAATACGCTGGTTTGAGGATGCCTGGTATCCGTCCTCGAAGAAAGCAGATGGACGGGATCCTCTAGACTGGTGGCACACTGGCACAGCTGATACGAAAGCCTGAGCAGCTTCGTTGCGGTACTTGCGCAGCTTACTGCCTTGGTGCTCCCCAAAAAACGAGGAGAAGAGCACATGTCTTTCAGTTTGAAAATCTTTTGGCCTCAGGCACCTCCGTGACTTCAGGGATGTGTGTGCTACCGTGATGGCATCTGGATCATGCAGCGCCGGCTGACCCGGACAGAAACCATGGTCACGTAGCTTGCTGAGCATTTTTCACTGCATCGGCATGGCGGGCCAGGGCGTCGTGCATGACTCATCTGCATGCTACTTGAACATTTAATCTTGTTTAAGCAGGGGTACGTTGAGAGATCACGGCAGGTTTTTCAGTACCTTCGATTTTCTTGGACCTCCCAAAGGCTCTCTTGCCGTCTTGGGAGATGCCACAAGGCTGCATGGTGCTTTTTCTCATGACAGTTTGGACCGGAGCGGCTCCAATGGCTGCGGCAGGCTTTCACCTTGTGCGTGAGCCGCAGCAGGCATTGACTTCAGGTAGCCCTGGGCAACAGACCAAATCTCGTACACTGACAGCTGGCACTTGATGCTACAGAGCTGTAGAAAACTGACCAATGGTCCCTCAACAGGTAGGTGGTGGCCTTGTCGGTGATGTCGTAAGCTACCTCGCGGATCATTTGGCCATGCCAAGCGGCGGCATCTAGAAGATGAGAACCCCCCCTGGCCCTCAAACACCAATCTGAAAAGGGTTGCATCAGTTTGGGGGGACAGGACCGGAAAAGGAGACCCGCAGATTTCGGACAGGGACCCCACCTCTGTTTCTTTCGGAAAGCTCTTTGCTGGTGAGCCGACTATAACAATATTTTAGGGGCAGTTGCGGCAGAAATTACCTACTGCTACTATCAAGGCAACATGCTGAAAAGAAGATTGTGCAACTGAGCATATGCATCCATCGAACTCATCTACCGGCACCAGGCAATTGGCCATGATTCCAAGAAACCATGATCTCGCATCCAGGTGTGTCAGGCACTAACTTTGTATGCTTTGCAGGCGCGTCTTAGGGCACAGGGGGAATTCAGACCATGGGACTTGTCCAAAGAGGGAATAGATGTGGAGCATATAATGCCAACATGGGCAGGAGCATTGGACCATAGGGAGTTGGGTTGTTGCAAAACGAGGAAAGATACTTCAAACTAGGGAGTGAGACCCTTAGCGTGTGCCTCCTCAGCTTCGTTGGCCTCTGGTAGCCGTGTGTTAACCTGCGTCGCCAGCAGGCGCATCAGGACAGAGCATTCCTTCAAGATTCTTATTCAATCTTCGGTGGTAATGGGCGAAGCGGCCCTAAACCCTAAACCCTAAGCCAGTGACCATTCGTGGGGTTCTGAAGGGGAATTCACTGACGCGATCCTTCCCCCCCCCCCCGCCTTTCCAACAAAGTATGAGTCGTTAGCGAGCTCGAGCTCCTCCCTCCATAGCAGTAGATAGTTCCTTTGCTAGTCTAGTTTATAGGGCTTAGGGTGTCCTCAGACCAGGATTTTTCAGATTGAGGTACCTGACCAGGAATATCGGCATCGGGGGGGTCTTAAATCTCGGGGCTCCTACAGATTGCATGAGATTGAGTTTACTGAAGAGTGAGACATCATGAGGGATTTCGGGGTTAATGTGGCACTCAATTTAATATCGGCCCCCAACAATACCCAACAATAGGGCTCCAGGAAATTAACAAAGAACAATAGGGCGCAGGGTTCTGAGGACTCTGGGGAATATTTTGAAGGAATGCCCTGAATTCGGTGAGGGCCTCCACACTAAAACGTATTAAGGAGGGTCTCCAACTATCTCCGAACAACGGCCTGTAACTCTGTAAGCGGCCGCCAAAGAAAATTACAGAGAGTCTCTTGGCAACAGCGAGTGCAACATTACAACCTTGAGATATTGGATTATATTGGGCTTAAGTGGGCAAACTCCTGTAGAGGTACAGGCTTCCAACCCCCGAAGTCTTGAAATCAAATCATCAACCCGAGTTAGGCCCTAAACCCCGAACCCTCAGCCTTAGACCCCCAGCCGAATACCCTGAGCCCTAAACTCTGCACCCTACCCTAAACCATACACTCGAAACAACATACCCTACACCAATCAGTCCAAAACATCAAGAGAGCGCCTTATGCTTGGGGCCGCCAATCCGGGCCACCTCCGCATCGAAGTCCGCCTCTTTCTTGCTGACTTTCAGTCGGGAGTGGAGGATTAGAAAAGAACATGAGCGCTACCATATGAGCTCCTCGTATCCCCCTTAAGAGCCCCTAGAATAGTCCCCTATGTAATCCCCCATACAAAGCCCCTTTAAGGAATTTAGACTATAGCTCATATAGACTTTGAGTTTTATTTTGAACCCCGCTGCATTGCAGTATAAGTTCGAGCTTTAGGGCTCAGGCTTTGGTTAGGGAGGAGCGTAAAAGAACATGGAAACTACTGCTTTGGATTTAGGGTTGGCGGGTTACTAGTAGGGAATAGAGACATGGATTCCTTACAGTAGCCCGTATGTAACCCTTATTCATCTCATAGCTTCCACCTGCATTTCCAATTCTTCAGTCCCTACCGACAACCGGCAAGTTTTGCAGATTTGGGTGCATAAAGGAGACCCTCGTTTGCAGGGATTTTTGGTTCGTATGGATATGGAGGGATCATATAGGAATATGGAGGGGTATATGAGGATGTGTAGGGTTAAGGGAGGAATGGAAAATAGCGACTATGGCAACTATGATATTTTCAGGCTTTCACGTTTAGAGCGAGGGCAGCTTTTTAGGCAGGAGAAAAGTGGGCATAACTGGGGCTCTAGCACATGGGGTCCTACTAAGTTCGCTGACCCTCCAGTCGCGTAGGGCTTTATAGAGCTTCATGGCCGTGCGTAGCCGTTCATAGGGACGATGTGGGGACTACATGTAGAAAGATTCTTTCAGGATTTGTCAAACTCATGGCACCTCGCTGGGTTGAACAAACCGGTGTAGTATGGCCCACAGATTGTAGGGTCGCAATTTTCGCAGCTTACCGCGCAGCGTCTACAGACCATGCAGGGCTCTTTTCATCTTTGATCCAAATTTGGTCTTCTGAATTTGAGGCTCCCCTGACAGGGACCTTGTCACCAATAGAAATTGCCGTGCGAGCTATAGTCTGAAACTCTACTATCCCCCCTAATAAGCAGTATAATACTCCCCTATATAAATCCCTTTAAGGAGTTAAGACTATATCTCACGTGCCCCCGTAAAACTTGGGTCCTGGCGCAGGACAAGCAGAGGAATGGCCTCCGCACCATCTTCTTGTACTTATCCTGAGTTTAGGATTTAGGGTTTAGGGCTCAGGGTTTATGGCATCCCGTCCCTCCCGGCAACAAAACGGGTTACACGGGCGAGATAAGAGTTTACGGTAAAGGGCTGCATTGGGTTTTCTTGGGAGGAATCAAGTTTTGCTGGGTTCTGCTCAGCAGCTTTGAAGGATTTAATTTTTATGATTATCAGTACTCCGCCCAGCCACCCCCTACTCTAGCATTGAATGTTTCCTGGGTGGCACAGAGAAAGGGAGTGTGAACATACACCATCAGGAGTAATATCGAAGAGGTGCTTAAATATTTGGGCAGGTGGAATATGGCTTGCATTATGCAGTGCTGGCGAAACAAGTGGCAGCGATGGTAAAATGAGACCCTGATATCCAGGTGCAATCCCTGTTCCATCCGCATTGCAAATCTGCATGTTAGAGCTCTGCTGCACAATCCTTATGTAGCGTCTTTCTCAGCGGCCGACGCCAAAGGGAAAGAAGAGAGTTGAAGCCGTGGGCAGAGCAGCTACTACTGCCAACATGTCCTTCCGGCTCAGCGCATACAAGCAGTTACAAGCCATAGAGCCCTCATCTTGGGCTTCTTGCTCAGACCTAGACATGGTATCAGCAAACAGGATGTCAAGACGTAGGCGAATCAATGATACATTCAGAGCGTGGGTTGCACGAAGCGAATGCTCCTCTCGAAACAAGTCCAAATCTTCCACCTGGAGGTCGACAAAGTCAAACCTGAATCAACATGATTACGGGGTTGCTGCTCATGAACTTGCAGCAAGTTACATAATATGAGTACATTGTAAATATTAGGTTTTCCTTATTATGGTCAGTTAGTTCCAATTGAGCTGTGGCCTAAACCCT